TGGTTAACTTTTTGAAATAATTAAACATTTTAGTCACCTCATTTGCATACCCAAATAATAATATACATGTACACAGTCACACAGACGCTTCACCACATGTAGAACTTTTCTACTTTTCCCGTTATACACATAGAGCACCAAGTTCATTAATACGTAATTAATAATTAATAATTGTTTGTTCGATGTATCTATTAGTGTTTACGCGGCTAGAAGTCAGGCATTGTAAATTAAAAATAATGTTTTCTTTCACTGCTGCACTATATTTTATGCTCTGCAACATGCTACGTAAAATAAAATTATTTTTTAATTTTGGGAATTAAAATAATATGATCAAATGATATAAGTTTTAAATAATGCTAACCAGGGTTTCTTAAAATTGCACGACTACCGGCAAATGAAAATATTATAAAATACTGACTGGTGGGACATGTATTGGAGCAGTGAATGGTGTAAATGTTTTGGACGTAATAGTATGTCAAGCGGAGTGAACTTGTGATAATTATTAAGTATTATTATTTTTTACTATAGTAGGTATAACAACTGTATTCAGTCGTTACGTTAGATTTTATTGTAAATAAAATGTTGTTCATTTATAAGAACCTAAATATTTAGCCGTGTTCTTCCTTGTAGTAATTTAAAGTTTTGTAAAATTCGCTTTGGTCGTAAATTGTGCACAGTAAGTTTATATTTAAATACAATTGATGACCAAATTAGCCACGCTGCAAACAAAATACGGATAACACCTACTTGCCGCTATAAATCGCACTGTCAGTACAATAAGTTTAGTTACTCAAAAAAAGCAAATGTTCAGGAAATCAATATGAAGTTTAGAATAAAATGACTTTTTTTCATCAAACAAAAATAATGTTAAGAGGACGCCACACCCGCATGTTTTGTCTCCGTCTTACAAACGCGTAACATAGCAAATTACGTCCACGGAAAACAAACGAATCGGCATCAAAAAGTGGTTTTAGATTAAAAATACCTATAATAAAACTTAAAGAGAACAATATTTTGGAGGGAACCTCATCGGCGTTTTTAAAAATATTAACTATTTAAAAAGTTGTGGTTATTTAAAAAAATTAAAAAAAAGAGTTTTTGTGCCTTCAATATCTAGCTGTGTATTTAGATTAATACAAAATCCCGATGAGGTTCCCTCCGAAATATTGTTCTCTTTAAGTTTATTATAGGTATTTTTACTCTAAAACCACTTTTTGATGCCGATTCGTTGTTTTCGTGGACGTAATTTGCTATGTTACGCGTTTGTAAGACGGAGACAACACATGCGGGTGTGGCGTCCTCTTAAGGGTAGATACAGGTTTATAATTTTGTTGTGATTACAATCAAGTGATTGTTATCCTTGTAAATATCTTTAGTTTGGTCGGTTGAAAAACCTTGAAAAACAAAAATTTAAATTGTTTCTAGTTATGGCTTATTGCACTACCTTTTGAATTAATTTTAATATTATTTTTTTAGTAAGCAAAATTTATGAATTATACAACATTTGATTTAATATATATAATACTATTATTTAATACGTTGATATCATCTCATATTTAATATTATTTATAGGTTTAGGTTAAAATTGACAAATTCAGTCTTCTTGAATGTTTGATTATTTTTAACAGTATTAACATTGAACCTAAAAACTGTGGTTGTATTAAAATTATTATTATTACAAAATAATATTATAATTGTAAATTACAATAATAATATCACTTTTTGTACTAACATAAAAATTATATAACATCTCTTCTAACTCTTAGTTTCTCCTTATTTTTAACAATATTTACCTTGAATTATGAATCAATACTGTTACAAAATAATATTATATTTTAAAATTATAATATAATTACGAAATAATATTATAATTTTAAAAATATTAATATAATATCACTTTTTGTATTAAAATAACAAATAAAATACATCTCTTCTGTCTCTTGTTTCCTATCTTTTCAAAATAAATAATTTTCCCTCAATTTATCCATAATATTTTTTACTGTGGTAGAATTGGTCACAAAAATACAATTATACAAAAATACATACGATTTAAATACTATGAATTAATGGAATAGAGTATGACTAGAGTAAAAATGAGTATAACAAATTAATGCTAACAATATTTTTATTTTATTACTTTATTTGTTTATGAGGTATGTTATTATCTCAATATGCGGCGATATACCTCTGAAAGTTTGATTGTCATAAGTTCTAAAATCGCGATATTTCAATATATGGCCTTATTACGAGTCACATATCGTTTTCGGTCAAATTGTGCTTAGAAGTTAAACATATAGGTACGTTCAATTTGCAATAATAATTTTCAGTAAATATTATTTTTATTAATATAAGAAGATGGCGCAACTACCAAAAAAAGTAAAAAAAAATTACGAATTCATAGACACCATAAACACAACAATCATAAATTTCGAGTTGTGGCCGAATAATTGTACTGACAGTGTGAAATTACAAAATTGTTATTAACCTACTGTATCGATTTTCATGGCCATAGTTTGGCGATCAATATTATTGTATTTTTATTAGGTTTTAATCTAAAGAGACGAAATACGTACTACCCATAATATTATGATTTTATTTAATATGATATAACATTATAACCTTGCACATTTTGATAGTCACTATTCATCAAATCAAAAATCTATGATAATATCATTAATATTGTAAATGCAAAATTCGTTCTAATAACAGAAAACTTTTACATCGTTACTGCAACGATCGGTTATTGCAAAATGATTTCTTTGCAGCTTATGTAAAATTATAAATATTTTAATTTAATTTTTAAATAAAAAATTGTTAATAAGTAATATAGTAAATTTATGAACTTTGAAAAATAATAAAAGGTATAGTTTTAGGTAGAAAAAACCATTTTTAATTGTATTAATTATAGGTTTACTAATTACTATAGCATAAAAATATTTATCTCAAAATGAAAAATTAATAATAAATGATCAAAATATAATTTCTATTTAAAAAGCATTTCGAAAATGAAATGTAATTTATCGCCCATCGTGCTGAATATATTCAGTCATATTAGACAAGTAAAAGATGTATAACTTAATTTAACTGGTACAATAACTTGTAATATTCTATATTATAATAATTTTTGTGTAGATTGAAATAATATCAGAATTTTATTATAAGATTTAATAAGTACTAATAGCTGTTAAATAAATTATATTATCCCGTTAATTATATTAATATAATAATATAGGTAATAATAAGTAGATAATTGTCGTTGACAACATTTTCAAAATAATTACAGCATAGGCATTTTGTAATTTGTTAAGAGAATGGTTTTACGACTTGTTTCATCTAATAAAGTAATAGAAATTCTTATGGTGAACAAGGTTGACAAGATACTCCTTCGGTGATGACAACTTATACAGTTTTTAAATCGAAACCGGTTGTTATTTTCATCCCACGATGACCCAGTGATACTCGTAAATCGTATATTATGTCGATATTGGTATTTTTAACGAAAAATGATTTATCTCATGTATGCCAATTGAAACTAATACTAAAATATGGTAAAGATCGCTATAACGTTTTAGAAAAAATACATTTAGGAACCAATACCTGTATATTCTAATAGTAATGTTATTATGTGAATTAATCGTTTTTTTGTTATTTAAAATTCTTAATACCTGATACTATAATATGGGCACTTTTGTTATAGGTACCTGGTACATAGATTATCTACAGAATATATTTTTACTTGTCCAATAAAATATTAAACTCAAACAAGGAAGGTATTTCAATAATACTGTATTGTATTATGGTTTAATATGGAATTTAAATTTATATGATATATTTTAATTTTGCTCGTCAAGGTATTAGGAATATTTAATATTAATTACCTTAATATTATATTTTTATGATGTTTTTAAAAACATTATAAGTATACGTATATTTTTTTTTTGTTTTGAAGTTCAGCATCATTTTTTCTTAAAATAACATGAAAGTTAAATCTATAATGAAATATTATCAAACTATGTTTATAAAAGGAAATAAAAAATATAAATGCCTGTGTTATTTAGTTAGTGTTTCAAGCAAATTCTACCACTATAATTTTAAAGTACCTATTATATTCTGTAGATACCTAAGTATTGGCGGCGTCGCGGAAGAATGCGAAAGCAGTTCCCGCGACGTCGTCGGTTCAAAACTGCAAAAAAAAAAAGATACCTAAGTAAATAAAATATGATTTAATACAAAACTTATTATTTTACTTAAGTAGATACACCTAGCATTTGATCATTACATTAATTTAAAATCCATGGACCGAAATTATTATTCAAGATCCAAAACAATTAATTAAAAACAAATTTTACCAGATGTGTTAAAAATTTAAGTGAAAAAATAACTACGTAGGGTACTTAAACTTCATGTAGATGTTTACGAAAAATCTTTTCAAATATATATACCCATGTATTACAGGTATATTATTTTCATATTGCTAAAAATTAGTCGATATTGCCATAATTGTAGGTATTTACATTTACAGCAGTGACTTGCATGTTATTTACAATATATATAATATAAAAAAAAAAAATAAAAAAACTTAATTAAATTGTTTTTTAAGTTGTATTTTTAAAATTAGAATACCATGCTGGGTTAATTTACTATGTACGGCTTTATAAATGTTAAAATATATATTACATAAAAGCTAATGATTTTTTTTCAAATTAACTCTCTTTGTATGAAAAACACTATACATTTATATGCTATTATAATATATGGTCGATATGTTGTGTCGTTCATTATAAAACATAATAATATTATGTACATTGTAGATTGTACCTAACATTATGTTAATCGAATTATTTAATCAATGACCACGGCAGTTCGTGTGAGCGAAACGTACAATATGTTCGTAGGTTGTAGTTGTACACAATACAACAATAATATTATAAAAAATGTATTGAATAGTAAATAGAAAAAATAAAAAAATAAATTAACATGATTTATTTGAGATCACTTACTGTTGTCACCGGTCGGTACCACTACGTAATTCTCGTTCGGTTTAGGCAGATCGTTACCCATCTTGCCGCTCGAGTGTTCCCGTTCGAATAACCGGCATAGTCCGAAACAATCCGTCATAGTACTCGGTCATCGGCGTTTCACAATGGCAGCGGAATTTTTTTTTTTCTTTCCTTCGTCTCGACCTTATCTGAATGATTTTTAAGTATTATATTATTTATACAAATCGACCCCCGTTGTGTTCGGTGCGATAAACGAACGCACTCACACTCGTACGCGTCTGTGTGAATGCATATTATGTATGTATGTGTGTATGTATTATAATAGGTATAATGTATAAGAATATAAGATATACGTTTATACAATTATATATACATACCTAAATATTCGAATGCCTGTATATAAACACAGATGTGTGCATATAGTATAAATACACTACTTGTGTATACTGAGTGTTTGAATATATGATATGATAATCCTTTATCGAATCCAAGAAACCAAACGTTCACTATCGGCGGTTCATAGACGAATGATTGTCTACAGCCGCAATCTCCGCTAGCTGCTTACTCGGTGCACACTATGTGTGTATATTTGTCTATATATATATATATAAATATAAATCACACACACACGCATAAACGCATATGTACACGTAAACCGTAGGCGTGTATTGTGTACTATTACTCGCGCAAGCGCTCGCGTGTGTGTGTGTATTCAAATGGTATAATATTTGTACTTACACACACACACCCACGTCGCCAATAATAATTCCATATGACCGCCACCGCTGCGGAAAACATTCGCCGTGTGTTGTTGCCTTCGTGGGTCGTCTCATGCGACGGCGACGACGACGGTCGACAACGCATACAGACGTTTTCATTAATCGCGCAGGACGGGCGACTTGTTCAGCTGGAGCGTGATGTGAATAATATATTTTGTGTACAACAGCTGCTAATCATTCAGATAAATGATAATGTATAAACATGATTATAGACTGCGTGCGAGGTTGGTCTAGTTTTTTTCCTTCACAATTACCTACTCAAAGTTTATAAGCTTAGTTATTTTAATACTGTGAAACAAATATATCAGAATGTTCTGACTTCTGGGGAAGAACTAGTTTCAATTCTTAGCATAGAAGCTTATAATAACTTTAACTATAAAATTACGTCACTCTTGGTACCAACTAGGTATATATTATAGACATAAGACATTAAGCAACGTATAACATATTATATATATATATATATATTATATATACTAATTACTTAATACTATAATTACTTCAGACTTGTAAAGTTTATTATATATATATCCAAATCACTGTATAAATTACCTATATACTTCTTTATACTGTATAAACTATAAATGTAGTTTGTGTTTCGTGGGTTGTATCATACTTAAAAAATATATTTACTAACATGAAAATTTAAACAGGATCGTGCAAAGATCATTGGTGCAAAATCTTATGAGGGACTTCAAGTTTCACTGAATGTGCTGGTTAATTAGTATATTTTATTAAATACTCAGCTAAGCAATGGACAGGTGTAAAGAACCTCTATTGGTGAGCCTGCCTACCTCTACCAAATTAAAACAAAAAAAATCATATTTCAAAAAGAATTATTTACTGAATACTGATATAACAGAAATTGAATTTAATTACTTTACAAAACTGTTGAACAATTCATAACATAAAAATATAAATAAATATACCTAAAGATTATAATACATCTACTTTTGTGTCTAACATGTTAATGAATGTAACATAAACATGTTTAAATTATTTTACAATAATTTTAAGATATATTAATATATAATATATATATTTTAAGAGATCGCCGATGAGGTAAGTTATTCTTGAACATTAAGTGGTTAATTTACTGTGTTAATGTTTTATTTTTACAAAGCAGAAAATATTGATACATAATGTAATTTACACTATGTCAGAGCTAGATTAAGCCTTTAAGGATACAGATACCTCTAATTAGAGTTCTGAGCAATATATTTTTGCACATACAAATATACATAGGTACATATTTTAAATTTATGATTGTAATACATCAAATTTTAAATTCAAATTGCATGAACACGTACATTATTGTAGTGTTTTCAATTGAAGCTTAACTAATAATATTATTTATATTTATCAGCAGTTTTGGGTTAGTGAAAGGGGTTTGTGATAAGTAGTCTTGGCCCTTTGGCGGTAACGTTTTGAAGGCGAGAATGTTAAAAAGTCGAGTTTGAGCTTCTAGAAACCTCTCACAGCTGTGGTCTATGGTAATTGATAATTGAATAGGATTGGGAAAAGCGTAAAATCTTAAAGTTCATGTTTGAACGTTTAGCAATGGCCAATCATCACCTGTGAAATTATATATGAACGCAACTAAGCCCCCTAGGTAGCAAATTGCGGACGACGGGTGGGCTGTAATTTAGGTAGAATGCAGTTTTAAATTTTTAATATCGACTTGCGGCCGATGAAAAGGACATTTCGAAAGCTTGAGACTTTGAGTCTCTTTGGTCGTCAAAAGTGGGCCACAAATAGTGTGACCAATATGAACGTCTCATCAAAATGAAAGTAAAAAACTATAAGATTGAATGTCGTGTTCGGCCAACGCATACGGTAATATTATATTATTAGGTATGAAATATCATGTATGTCAATACAATTAATTAATTAATCAGCCACACTGGCACACTGACATTTTTATAAACTGTATTACCGTTCTCGGCTACCTGCCTATAACATTGTTGTCGTGTTGTACACAAATAAACTACCCGTTCTTAAAACGATAAACAGTTATTTCGCCGAACACTGATTAACATTTAACACCATTTTAGTATACTTGTCTATTGTCTATGGTTTAACACTGGAGTTTATACATAAACATTTTTTTAAGTTTAATATTATATGATAAACTAATTGTTTTTTTAACTCGTTCACCGCAGATTGTATTTATTAATTAATATAATGTACGTATATACTAAAACATTGTAATGTGTAATACCTATATTATAAAATCAGGGCTTATTTTTTTGTGCACATCACATGCGCTCTGTTAAACGAATTTAATATTTTATATCATATTAGGTAAGATACTATACCATAATAATACCGACAAATCACTTATTTTTTTTTTTACTTAAACTTTCTGTTTTTTGTTTTTATTTTATAAACTTTAGGTAGAATGAGTAGGTACTAAAAATGTGAACAACATTAATGGCCATTGTAAAGTTTTTTCGGCAGGTAGGTACAACGATCGAAATCGAGGCAGACGTAAGTATAAATAAGTATAAGATTATTGATTAATATAATAGTAGACACCATTAGATTCATTAGAGTGTAAATGATGTTTACCCGTTTCAGTATGTTACAACACTGCCGGAAGTCAAGACACCTTTCCCGGGATTATGATGAGTGTGTAGGCCGTAGGGTACCTACTTCATATTTTCCCTTAACAGTCTTAAATATTAATATTATATCTATGTAGTTTATATTGTAGACAAACCCAGAGTTGGTCATGCCCGGGGAAGGGGCGGCAGCAACAACGTATCGGACCAGTATGGGTGGCGTCGTGGCGAGACTAGTAGGTGATGAAATGTTTATAGGCGACGGAGTGGTGGAAGGAAACACCCCGTTTTCCAGCCCCTCACCAGATCCCGCTGACCACTCAAAGACATACTCCCACAATATATTGTTATGTTTAAAAAATATTTAAGATAATAATATTGATAAATCTAATTAAACACATTATTTTCTAGAGGTAAGTCCGCGACGACATCGATAACGCCTACACCGATTAAATATAAATAATACATAACATACCTTACTGCTGAAACATTCTATATTATTAGTTTAGTAGATACCACATAATGTGTGAAATTTCGGAATTGAAATATCAAAAAATATATGTATATATTATTGCGAAAAAGAAATATTATGTAAATAATATAATAATAATATTAAGTAATATTAAGTTTTTATTAGTAATATCTTTTATGTAAACAAAAATATTTAAGAGCTCCAACGAGTATACGCATACTCTTAAAAGAGTGCTGATGGTAATTAGGAAGTCGCGTATTTTGCTATCTACCTATCTATATAGTTGTCTCATAATATACTATACGTATAAATTATCATAACGACATAATATATTCATAATTACAAGGTATGGACATGTTCTCTTCAATAGGTAGGTCGATTCACTCTAATGTTTAAACTAATAAAGCTAAACGATATCTGCTGAGCGTAAATTGTCTACGTTCCACACTTATTGTAGGACGGAGGCAAAACATGTGGGTGTGGCATTATTTTAAGGAAAAACGGGAATTTCTACTCAAAATTAGTTTTCGAAAAACTTGATTTTAGATTTTGATGTAACTCTAAATTAATTACCGTAGATATACCTACTAACCTATAGGTACACACAACTTTCATTGAATGTTAATATTAACGGTTTCTAAATACACCATACAATTTTCAAAATATTTTAACTCATGTTGAGCTATCTATAAAAATATGTTCGATTATTATTAGATTTTTTAAGATAAAAAAATCAAAAAAAAATCTTCACTTGGTCAAAAAACTTTAAAATGTAGTAGGTACAAGGTTAGTCCACAATACAAGGTAAACCCTCGATAATTTTTAATGTGCGTCCGAAGTTCAAATTTTGACAAAATTCGTTAAAAACAAGAAAATTTGAAAATAATTTTTAGTTAAAAATTCATAAAACTTTTCTTTTTATATCAAACATTTTAAAATTTATTACATGATTTTTCATTAGTTTGTCTATCTTATAAAAAATGTCTACTGGAAACTCAAATCGAATTTTTATGAGCATTTTATTTTTTACAATATTAGATATTCACCCAATTTCTCAGCGATTTTCTTATTTTGTTGTAATTCGAAAACGAATAACTGTAAATACTTGAAACTTACACCATATTATATTTATTTTATAATTTTCTATACTTGATAAAATATTTTGACTGGTTTTAAGATGTTCAGGAACATTTTCAATTTTCAATTGTTTTAGTTTTTTTTTTATAAATATCAATGAAATTGTATTCGTTAGTCAAAAAGCATGGAAATTTAATACATGGTTCCTCACATACTGTTACAATAT